TGATGTCACAATACAGATTTTTGGGGGTATGGAAATACACTTAACAACACAAAGTGCTTTTTGTTTTAAAACTAATGCTATATTTCAGTGTAAGCCTACTGTATTAAATCTAAGATCACAGCAGTATGCCATTGCAAGAAAGCCTCCATTGAAATATGATTTTATTTGTATGCTGACAAAACCAATCCTTAACTAATGAACCGTATTTTCATCACCCCAATAGAGAGAGATATGAAAGACATGGGGAAGAGTCATTAAAGCACCAAGAATTATTGTTATTTTGACCATATAGACAATAACAGGATCTCAAATGTGCAATATCAGCAACTGCTTTCAACAAGAAATACATTTCCTGAAGTCAGCTGATCCCACTGTAATTCTTTCACAGACACACACAAAAAAAAAATAATTGAGAGAAAGAGGTATATGAACTACACTCACAATTTAAAGATCAAGAATTTTGCCAGCAATTTGCATAGGTAGAGAGTATATTGGTTTACATAGTCTCATGACTGTCATGAGTACTCACTTGGTATCATACTCTAGAGGATAGAACTAGGTTTGAGTTCTTCAAGGGGTCTCACCAGTTTCTTCAAACTTTGTGAAAAAACAAGCTACTTTATAAATAAAAAGAGTTTAAATACAGTATCCAGAGATGACCTTTGATTTACGCTTCAATTTCTGCAGTAAATTTACAATACATTTAGAGATAGTATTTCCCGAAAAGATTACTCTTACTAAGAAGCAGAAAGCAATACCAAACATTTATACATCAGAGCTGATTAAACAAACCGCTGTCTAATAAGCTGCCAGACCCTGAGAATGGGAAACTATAGAAATAACAGACATCAACTTATTTTTTATCCGGTAGAATTTCTGAAAGATTCATGCAGCATGCGGAGCTCCTTTTAAACTTCTTTAAAGAAGTGAGAAATATTCAAATAAAGATATTAGATTGAGAGTTCTTCATTATTTTCTTCTCTTCCTTTTTCAGCTCAATTCCACCCACTTCTCCCTCTCCCTCCCATTTGTATCCTTAGAAGTTGGTCAATTTCTTTTTGCTACTTCAGTTAATGCCAAATGTAAAGTTAAAAAAGGTGCTGAAATCAAGCAATTATACAAACATATGGAAAGAACTCCTGGTAGCTGAGGCTCAGCTACAAGTAGCATCGATTTTCTACTGCTTTAAAATGCAAATAGAACAAAAGACCCAATGAAGTGAAACAGGGAACAGGGGACAATATGGGAACACACTGATTAGAGAGAAAGAAAACAGTGAGAAGTCCAAACGAGAGGTGTGCTATAGCTACAGTCTAGTTTCCTATTTCACTTTTACAACACAACAGATCACAACCATTAAACAAACCATTGAAAAGCCAAGTCTTATCTCAAACAACACACTGTGTACTGCGTTCTTCAAACTGGTGCAGTTCATTTTATAAGTGACATCCATAATAGCTAATTACGTAGATTGCTCTGCTTGAATCTGCATCTTCTGTTTAGAAGAATTCTCACCTAGAAGGAAAAGTGCAGTCACTCTTCCATGTGCTGCTATCTTATTCTATATTTCTGCAAGCACCTTCTGCAAATCTGTTTGGTGGGGTTTTTTTTTTCTCTGACATTTCAATCACTTTCCTGTTTGAACATCAGGTCTTAAAGTGCTTCTATTATTAACTTTGTTTCCTCAACGTGGTAGTGGCAAATCATTAACTGGTACAGTAATCTTTCCACATGGAAGATTTCCCATTTCTAATTCCACAGAAATAGGGCTACATTTAGTGTAATATTTATTTCAAAACAGATTTAACATACAGCCAGGAGTACGTCCTGCAAAAACACCTCACACCTGCATATTTATTATTAGACGCAAAACCAAACCTATTAAATTCACTGGGAATACGCACCAACATTTATAAAAAGAGAATAATCTTTGCATAAACAAGCGGGGCACTGAAATTCACTTCAAAGGGAACTTTAGGCCTAAAAGCCTGAAGCCCTTTGTCATAAGGGCTGAAAGATGGCATCTTCTTTCCATGACCTAATGCAAGTGAGGAAACAAACTTAGCCTCATTCTTTTTTTAAGCCACAATGGTGCCAAGTGTTTGCCTGTCAGTAACAGTAAGTATCCCACACTTTTGCCAGATTTACATTACCTGTCAAAAGGAAATATTTTTCATACTGTCAACTAAGAGTCACCTTCCAGTTGCGTGTCTCCAATTAACTATGTAATACTTACTCATGCATTTATGACTTTCAAAAATTAATGATTATTCTGGAGTCACCTTTCTGTGGTTTATGGATAAGCTAATTCATACATTGCAATAAATATATAATTGACCGGGAAATAGTTCTATGAATTTCAAATCCAAGCATCCTTAAATCAAGTTTTATGTTATGCTCCCGCTTCTGAAACCGTCTTCAAGCTTCTGTTCTCTGATAGAGTATGAATTGCTTTTAAGACCAGAAACTAGAGATATTTACACTTAATTTGACTTTTCCATACTAATTTGTTTTCATAGCTGGTGCTGTATTTTTGTTAAGTACTTGGGTTCAGACTTGCATATGATTGCTTATTTCCTTATTAACAAATCTGGAGTGATTATAGTGTATATATGATGACTTTAAGGAAATAAAATGCTTCACAAACGGGGACATCAGAACAAAATAATTCAGCCTACATTATCTCAAGCACAGCATTTCAAGCCTGAATTAAACACATACACCGACGAGTATCTGAAATGACTAACCACTTCTATTACACTGAAAATTAGTATGTGGCTTTGCACCTGGAGATCTATCTATTGCACAATTCTAAATTTGATGCTTAATTCTATGCTCACATGTCTAATGCGGGTCCTACTAACATGCGCAACCAGCTCATAAATATTTGTTTGCTAGGACTTTGAACTGAAGAATGAAAAAAGAGGATTTGTCTAAATAATTCACGGAAAGTGACTGGTCTTCAGCATCCAGCAACACAGGTACCCAGTGAAACGCAGCACAGCAGCTTGCTTTCCAACTGCCGCAAATGCAAGCAGAACACACAACCTCACAGCAAAACAAACATTGGAATATTTCTCATTTCCAAATATTTGGGAATATCTGTTACCTGAATGCCAATACTCCAACTGCCATTAGGAAACACAGGGTTTTCACTAACTTTTTGCCAAACCTTTACATCTATAGGCTGATCTAGCATTGTTTCAGGCCTTTTAATAAACTGCCTACAAAGTAAATGCACTTCTAAGTGAACAGTTCTCAGGCGCTACAACATTTGGGCACCCATGCGTCAAAGAGACACATTTCGATGAATATTTTATCCAGTTTTGCATTTAATCCAATTTATTCAGTTTTGAATCTAAAATCAAAGTCTTAAAAGAAACAATGACTCCTATCTTCTTCAACCCTAGCAGAGAATTGAAGCAATATGTGGGGTCACGTTTTGTAACATCCCATCACACATGACCTAGGGGAATCTAGGGAGATTTCAACAAAGGTTACAACCAAAAATTAAGGAAATAAAAGTGAAATATGTAAGTTACCAGAAGACTAGGGTGTTAATTTGGCAAGGCTCTTCAGCTGATACACATTACCTATACGCTAAGATCTCCGGCAAGTAAATAGGAAAAAAACTCTCAGATATTACACAAGTTGGACTTAAAAGTGATGGACCACCTTATTATTTGAAATTTATCAACAAAGGCGACAATGAGAAATAACTAAGTCATCCCCAGATCCAAAAGGGATAACGAAAACTCCTAGCACCAAAGCTTATTTCTCTTAAAGAAAGCCTGCAGTGTTGTGGTAAATTAAAGTTTAAAAAAAGCCCCCCAAAGGAAACTTCTAGATCTGGCTTTGCTGCTCCGTTGTTCTTGTCTAAGGCATGAGGAAATTTATGACTTCCTCCTCCTGCTTGTACCAGTACGAAATCTTCCAGAATACAAGTCTCCTAAATCCTCTGCCTACAAATACACGTGCATCTAGGTGATTCAGCTGAAAATGCAAGTCCATTTGTTTGGGGTCAGGGAATACTCCCCCCAAACCTACTTTTTGTAAAAAATGCTTTTCTTAAGTGGCTATAAAAAGTACGTTTGTGCTTCTCTGCTATTTGTACTGTATAGGAAGAAGGCCTGAAAATTGGCAGCAGGCACTTCTGCATGTTTTGTACCTCAGAAATATAAGTATGCCAAGAATTTTCATCTGTGGTTTCACTGCAGAAATCCTCAGATTTCTAGGAATAGGAGGGGAAAAAATTGTCTCATTCCTCTGCTAGAGGACACACTGTCACACATCTACTATGGTAAATAATAAGCACTTGACAAGAGTTTGAATTAAACAATGACAGAAGATTATTTTTTTTTTAAAGGATTTGAATTAAAATCTTTTGCAATTCTCTTTTTTTTAGAATAATCTGAGAACCTGGAGATAATATTTTAGCATAAAAGACGTGGAAAATCTTCTTTTAAAAGGAAAAGAAAACAAAATCCAAAATAAAAAATACAGGCCTATTTCAAATCATTTTTATATACAACAAAGCAGTAATAAAGATTAAAACAGATCTTTTCTTGCAATGCAGATCATCATTTGACTAATAGAGAAGGTGCTGCTGAAATGGAAAGGCTGGTGTTTCATAAGTAGTATTTCAAAATTTGCACTTTACAGCTATTCCACTGGAAAATGGTTGAGGGAGGAACATAATTCTCAACAGGCAAGTACTCCCACACACTGTCTCCATGCGAAAATCTTGAGGCTATCAACCACCAGCTGCCCAGAGACATTAGCTAAAGCCTAAAGCCTTGTGTCACAGCCAAGTGAACTTTTCCTTAGGTCAACACGAAGATTTACTGGCACTCAGAACAGTATACACCAACTTCAAGGTAAAAAGAGTTTGACGCAAATATCTGAGATAGCCCTATCAGCTCCATATTTCAGCTCCTCCCACCTGAATTGGCTCCTCTTGTCTAAGTCAACTAATGCACAATTCAATAGCCTTGACTTACTGCGAGATGTGAGTTATTGGGGTCAGCAGTGTCTCACCCTCCAGGTCAAGCTCATCGGCAAAGCTGTTGGTCCTGATGAAGGGTCCTGTGTTCACATCTAAAAACGTCGGGCTTTTTTTCACTGTGAGGAAACATGCAGGTAACAGTTAAAGCAACAGCATTCAGCTTTTTCAAGAAAGGTCTACCACTTGTTTGGATCTCGGAAATTTTAACAGAATATTGGAAACAGAAGTTGCTACCAAAAAATGCATATACTGCAGACTTCATGAAAAGTAAAACTTTAACTCTCTTTCTACCCGAAGAATTTCAACTTCTGCTGAAGACTTAAAGCTAATATTTTTTTTCCTTTCTTTTTTTCGTTCATACTCCTCAAACTAGAATGTAGAGTATCTATATCACAGGTAGCTTCATGCATTATAAAACTTACTGTACAATACTGAGCCATGGACCACCGCTCTCCAGCAACAGCGCATTCAGTGACGAGATCAGTTCCTTTTTACATCCACTCCACTGCGTGGTTTAGTTTATAATACCAGTTTCTGGGGTGTAATTACTGTGACTAAGATCAAGAAACCAGGCCTAGATCAACAAAGGAGCCTTTTTCATGGAGTATTTTCATGGTGAGTGGTCAGCTCTTGTCAAGCACAGTCTGAGCTGGTCTACTGGTTCCCAATCCCACTCACACTTAGGCACACGGATGCCTCATCTTTTGAGCCCAGACATGAGACAGGCGGCAAGATGTTCAGTTCATCCAAGATGAGGCTGCTAGCAGGAAGGCCATTTCACAAAACTTCAGATACTGAAATTTTTTAGTGGCAAAGTTACTTGTGAACCAAAACTTTCATTCATCCAAGAAATTGGAGTATTATAAATTTCATTTTTAAACTAAGGCTCCTAAATTCTGCCAGACTCTAACATTAAGAACCTTAAGTGCTTTATCCAGCATGGTCCTAACATTTGTTAAGAGAAGCCATAAAATTCGCATATAAATAAAACTACTATTGTATTTAGACATTATTGTAAATGAATTTTAGAGAGAATAAATACAACAAGTGAAATTCTGTAGAAATCATAGGAAGATCGTGACATCTCCACAGAAATCTTTACCTGTGCAACTGGCTAGATCATTCAATGAAATAACTATAATGTTGTAATTTATGAAATCTCTACTGTATTAAGGAAAATACTTTATAATTTAATAGTAAATTATGTCCTGCCAAAATGCAACATGAAAGGAATACAGCAGAAATAGTTAACTTAAATGTAGCTGAATTTAATGAGAATAGAAGTAGGGGTATCAGGAAATTATTTTTTTAAAATGCAATCATTTTACTCGAGTAAATAGATACCTTCATATGGCAGAAATGGATTTGAACTTTTACAGATAATCAGAATAGAAAATGTTATTATATCATCAGACACATGGTCATTCAGAATTACAATGGGAAAGTCTGCTCTCCAGAAATTGGAGAGGAAGATCTCTGAAATCACAGTTAAAAAAAAAAAAAAAAAAGAGACAACTCCTAGGAGACATAATTATACTTTAAAGATAAATTAAAAGCATGAGCCACTTGCACAACTTAAAAATGAGAATTCTATAGTAAGTTTTAGCAAATGTTAGCTTCCCATTTTTGCTGTTAGTATCACGTTATTTAATCACTTTGCTGTAGCCATCATCCAAGATACTGGCTGTGAAACAAGCAAAATAATTCAGATATGCAGCAAAATGTCTTTAAAACAGACTCTTTTTGTTTTCACTAAATTATTTTTCACTGTTCTCATTTCTACAAGATACAGATGAAACTTTCCAGGTTTCTAGGGAAGGAGGACTCAGAGC